TGGTAAGTCCTAGGAAACTCTAAGTTTTCATGTTCATTTTCTTGAATTCTCTTGCAGTAAAGTAACATTAGGAGAATAATCTTAGAGTGTTTTCTCTTGCCTTAAAGTAACATTAGGAGAATAATCTTAGAGTGGAAAAATATTATAGTTCAGGAAATATCAATACACATAAGCAAGTAATATCCTGAAACACTTGTTAAATTCGGCTCCTGAATAATGGATTCCAATGGATTCTGCAATTATCTGTACATGTTTAATAAAAGCAGACAAAAAATTTTATATCTATAAATAATCAAGCAAGGTCAATTGTAAATGTTAGAAAGTTGCAGTTTTTTTATTTAGTACCCAAAGAATGCCAGTAATTTAACATGAAATCTTGATAACTGTTTCCCACAGAGTTTTAATAAGAACAAAAATAAATATTTCTATGTCATCTTTGGCATATTGTAAACTCAAAATGATAGCCATTTCTTAGCAGCTATGTGAGGAATAAAACACTGTAAAAGCACTACTGAATTTGGTCTTACATGAGGAAATATGTAGTACAATGAATGAAAACTAAAATCTCAAATGGTACAGTGCTTTAAAGAAAACATTTATATGATAAATGATGGCAAAAAGAGTTTATAGTATAGTTGGTACTAAACACTGGGGATCTTTTCTTTTAATTGTAGCTTTGACATTTTTAAGTACACATCAATCAAATTTACACATAACTTCTATTTAATGCCATTTCTATTTTGAGAAGTGAAAGGAAATGCCAGTAAGTATCTTCTGTATCCGAAAATATGTTTAGGAGCTGAAAAGTGCTTGGAAAGTGTTAGCAAACCAATTTTTTTAAGTGGCTAAACTATACTCTCTGCATAAAACCTACATACCTAACACTACCAGTACTACTATCTGTCTTACTATTTTTTTAATAAAACACAGAAAAACCACACTACCATGCTATTGTTTTATTTTACTATAGAATTTATGCAAGATGGATTTTCATTTCCAACCGTACTGGCATTTGGATAGGTAAGATTTTATGTATGTATAACTTTTAAAGTGGCTGTTTCTTCCAAGACTTCCCTGTTAAAAATAATTTTATTACTTTAAAATACCACCTTTTTTTTGCTATAAGTGGTATCCATTTCAGAGAGAATGAATTCAAAAGAGAAATCAAATGTGATCTGAGAAATATTGATTGAGAGGGAAGAAATAAACCAAATAATCTAACGGGTCACATTATAATACTTTATTAAAAATTAATGCACTTAGTACATTCTCTAGAACTGCCTCAAATAAAATAAAATTAGATATGTAATAAATACCTTTTAAAGAGTAAATTAGTCCTCATAATTTAGATAACTAGAGTGAAAGTAAAGCAGACCTCCAAAGAAATTCTATTGTCCAGGCTTTAGAAATGTAAATACAGAACAAATCCTAACTTGGCAATTACATATAAATTATTTCTAAGCATTTAGCTAAAAATTCTTGCTGATCAATAATTGAAAGGTAAATAATTTACAAATATAATGTAAGCTTCTATTTCTGTATTGTAAAAGTACTCTTCCTTTGTTTTTCTTCATACTTCAAAGAAACTTTGCCTATAACTTATGACTTGCTACATTTTCTATTTCTCCTATTTATTAGGAACCAAATCAGATTTTAAGTAATCAAGTATTACCATTTTATTCAAATTATATTATGGACTTCACTATATTGTTAAGACAAAAAACAGGAACAGTGCATCCTAATAATAATATAAGTTGTGAAAAATCAGCATCAAAACCACAACATTTCTGCATAGGAAGGCAGATTTATTCTGCCTTCTGATTTTGGTCTATTAATTTTGGCAATCTTTGATCTTAAGACATATGCCCCAAAATGCCTGAATAAGCTCCAAAATATAAAAACTGTTCTAAAGATGTTTAACTGCAATTGGCCAATCTATACTTATGGCTTGCATTCTTATTGAGAAATAATCTTGTGATAAATAGAACCTCTAGTGTCTGAAATCTGGACAAAGGATCTGGTAACTTAGATTGTACAGATAGTTTCCATCTATTCTTTCTGTGCTTTTGTTTGTTTACTGATACTATAGGAATGAGGAAAATACTGGTATAAAATTTATGTTACCTAGCATATACTGTAAGAAACAAGAACACAAATAAATATGGGCTTAACAATAATATATATGCAAATGACCACCAATCTCTATCTCCCTCCATAGAATTTTATTGTAGATGTTAACTGTGTTTAAAAGGCTTGAAGTGTTTAAGAGACAGGAAAGTCATGACATGTTCTATGTTTTTCTAAGCAAAAATGTGTCATGACTTTCCTGACTACCCAATAACTACGACCCAATAGAAAGGAACTATGCAAAAAACCAGTTTATTGGATAATCTGACTCAGTAGCATACTGTGTAAGTTCCTTGCCCTCAGAATATCTTCCCTAATAAGTGATTTAAAAATTATTCTCATCTGGCTAGAATGTTTGAAACTCCAGCAACTAGACACTCATTTGATTAATGGAATCTTCTTTGAAAAATGATTACTTATTAGCCACTGATAGAAAATGTGAATTAATTTAATGAGATTACATTTTCTTTTACCTTTCTAGCTGAAAATAGCTGCTCTGAGAGAATGGAAATCCTGATTTGAGGAAGGGGAAGGAAGTGAAGTCCTTTTGGAAAATAGAATTCTTCTGGGGATAGAGCAAACCTTAATGATGGAATATTGCTGTGAGGTGCTCAAACAGGATAGCAAAAGAGGGCTGGAAAGCCTGTAAAAAGTGAATGTAGAAAATGCCACAAGATAAACTTTGCCTAGTTGAAAACCTACATTTTCTAGTGGGCTTTAGAGGTAAGGTAAATAGTTCTTTTCCTTCTTCATATATGAAGAGCCTCTCTACTGTAAGAAAAAAAAAAAACTTGAATCTGTGTGAATAAATTTATGAGGGCAGCTTTATTTTAACCTGTTGTTTCAAAGGGAGACATTATAAACAGGAAGTATCTGTTCTTAAGTTTGTGGGTTGCACAAACATATGAATTCCTTTGAGCTAAGCAGAGGTACCACTAAACATGCTTTACCAGGTTTAATTACCAGTGGTGACAAATT